GACAGTTGGTACTAAACAATTCATGTTACATGTCCGTAGTTTTGGATGGGCTGATGATAGAATAGTTTGGATCGCATCCTTAGAAAAACTGTCCAACCCGCTCTGACGGCTACCTGTATAAGACAATCACCTGTACAAACGGCCACCTGTATAAAACAATCACCTGTACAAACGGCCTCCTGTATAAGACAATCACCTGTACAAACGGCCTCCTGTATAAAACAATCACCTGTACAAACGGCCACTTGTATAAGACAATCATCTGTACAAACAGCCACCTGTATAAAACAATCACCTGTACAAACGGCCACCTATATAAAACAATCACCTGTACAAACGGCCTCCTGTATAAGACAATCCCCTGTACAAACGACCACCTGTATAAGACAATCACCTGTACAAACGACTTCTTCCCCATTTCCTCCCTTGCGTGTATTAACATTCTAGTAGCGCTGTGGGAAGTGACCACCCTGTCTAAGCCGGCACTTTACTCCTCCACAAGGGCCGTCCGTCTTTGACAGGTTGGGCTGTATTTCCGAATGAGTTCACTCCTTTGTGTCATTAAGGTCAGTGGAAGCTGTGAAAGGTTTCTCATATCGCGAGATTTGATTCCAGACCGAAGTATGGTGGGCCGGGCGGGGCCATTGTAGTTTTACATATAACGCTTTTTGTAACGAGTGTCGACAACCGAGCGATGACGTAAGTCAGCTGAACTGACGCGCCGTGACGTAAGAGTTCAGGTCTGAGCGCCACTGTCAGTGAGAAAAGTTACGTGGACTGAGTAGCTTGAGTACCGGATGAGGCGAAGTGAGTCGAGCCAAGTCTCAACACAACTCATAGATCCAACGAATCACATAGGTCTAGAATCGTGCGTCCATTTAGCAGAAAGAGTTTTTAAATGAAGGACTTTTATTTGAAGAATATCTTCATGTATGTATACATGTACTCAGCGGCCTTAGAAACTTTCCATTTGACAAAAGCCTTTATTGTGTTTATTAAACAAGCCTTAAAAAACCCCCCACACACAACAAAAAAAAACAACCCCCAAACAGACTAGATACCACAAAGGTATTCCAATAGATCTGTTCCCAGATGTGTATCGTCCTTTGTTTTTCTCTCTTCTACTACCACAGGGACTCACGAGGTGGAAGAGCACTGTGCAGAAGCCGGCGGTCCCCTCTCTCTCAACGCGTCATGCCCAAAGAACCCTGGACATCTCCAGTTCATACCCGTGAGTGAGTTCAGCGAGGAGCACATGAGATCCGTGATACCCCAGGACGGACAATGGCCTGTGGAGGAGATAATGGACTTAGTCAGATGCTGCTCTAATCTAGTTGTCAGGATCAATGCGCCGTTCGTAAGTAAAGATCGGCCAGACGGCTACCCGTTTGCTCGCTACAGAGGGAAACGTACGGATAAAGTTGGCAGCGGCTTTGTGTCGCACTCGTTCAAGGGTCTTAAAGAGCCATGTGCTTGTTGGGAATGTAAACAGGAAAAGTGTGAGACGAACGAGCAAAAGCTGGTCTTTAGAATTGTAGTTGAGACCGCACGCCACGTGGTTTTTGACGACACTGAGGCCAGTCAGTGTGAAGTCGTGTTTTTCGATGATTATCCTTCCCCCATTGGCAGTTACATAGTAGCTCGGGGCTGGGAGATAGACAGAAACAACACAAAGAACGACTTCTGTGAACTGACGCGAGACACACATCTGGAGAATTTCGGTCAAAGACTGTGGAATCTCTGTCGTATGCACGAACGTAAACGCTTTCGAGACCATGGGAAGAAACATTGGCCTCGTCCGTCCCGGATCCCATCTGTCGTCATCTCCCACCCACACGGGCGGATGAAGTACATCACGCTCGGACACATCGACGCTCTACACGGGACTGGTGAAAGAGAAGACAGACGTCTGCTCTACACCGTGCCTACATGTCCCGGCAGTAGTGGTGGCATGGTCCTACCTCTGGATTATTGGAACAGTTCCAATATGTTCAGGTCTTCGGCCAAGCCTCACTGCTCTGCCCGACCCAAGTCAAGGAATCAAGGCTTTAGTGTTCTGGCAAAGGGGGATCCTGTCATACCGCCACTGGTGTTAGTAACTGACACATCACCTGACAGGTCCGAGGAGGAAAAGAAGAAAGCTGAGATAAAATCTAGCGGAGCACCCATGAGCAAGTAGACAGTGAAAAAATACATTGGGACATGGCCTCACTGTTATTTGTAAGCAGACAATTTAAATCGTATCGTTATTACTTAAGATTCAATCTTATATCTTATAATTATATTGTTTGCAGTTTTTCTGACAAACTGTATCTTATCAAGCTGTTTTTGTAGTTCCATTCTGAATGAACGTTGTGTCAAAGAGTGTGTGCTGTTTGCGATGTCTGTTGACATTTCTTCTGTGGCGCCCTCTGGTTCTTGGAGGCGTCGGGTTGTGCTTGAGTTTAACTTTTAATCGGTATATGATTTTAACAACTCCCCAAAGTCATCTTTTTAATATTGTTTGATTCCTTTTTTTGGGGTTTAATTTTTTATTTCGCTCGCAACTGCGTAAGGTCATAGGAGCGTGCGGGACACATTGAACATTTTCAGTTTAGTCAAAATTTTGAACTTTGCCCGAATGGCAGTCGAAGCCTACTTTTATCGGTTTTAGGACCACCAGGGGATCTTTAACGTATACAACATGCACATGAGAAAATGGAGACGAAAACAGACGTCAAAACATGTTTAGACAGCAGAAAAGGAGGTGAAAGATGCACATTTTCGAGAAGAAAATTTTCCGTCGCTGTCTGGTTTCGAACCCAGGACCCATTTAATGAGAGGCCAACAGCGTCCCCTCTAGACCAGGAGAACTGACGCTAGAATCTGTCACACCGAACCCAGGACCTATTTAATGAGAGGCCAACAGCGTCCCCTCTAGACCAGGAGAACTGGCGCTAGAATCTGTCACACCCCAGCCTAGAGTACCCCACGCCGGGTCACAGGGAGTGGACGAGGGGCCGGGTGGTTCTTGGCCGAATCCTCAACCTGGCTTTATGTGGACAGTTGGGGGGATTTTGTAAAGGCCTTCCACACATCTGGTTCAGTGTGTTGGGAAATGGACGTTACCTTCGGAGGTCCTGCCTCTAAAATAAGCGTACGATGTTGAAAAGAGTGTTAGACCGGTACACTTTCACATTTTCATATTTTCACTTTTTCACATTTTTACATTGTCACATTGTCACATTTTCACATTTTCACATTGTCACATTATTACATTGTCACATTGTCACATTTTTACATTGCACATTTTTATATTTTCACATTTTCACGTTTTCACATTTTTACATTCTCACATTTTCACAAGAAAACAAATTCTACTCCAAAGCACCAGGATTAAAAAGAGTCGTCACGTCATGCTTATTTTGTCACATATCGATGATTTATTCAAACGATTGTAGAACCCAACATGTATTCACACAAATTATACAACAGAAAAGATACACAAAATAGAATGTGTAGATTATATCAGAAAAGATGCACAAAATAGAATGTGTAGATTATATCAGAAAAGATGCACAAAATAGAATGTGTAGATTATATCAGAAAAGATGTACAAAATGGAGTGTGTAGATTATATCAGAAAAGATGTACAAAATGGAATGTGTATTGTATCAGATCTTTATAAATGTAGCCCTCCCAAGACACCAACAGAGCCTATCGCTTGTTTAGTTTCCTACCTTTTTTATGATAATAAAAAAATATATATCTCGCAAATCCGTGTTACAATGGTTGCTCTATACGCTTTACGCAACATTCATGAAAAACATGCATTCACACATACATGCACATTAGAATGCAGTTCTATATTCACACACACACACACACACACACACACACACACACACACACACACACACACAAATAACAGAGCAAATCATTCAAGCATAATATTGCATTCACTCTTTCTTACTAATAAGGGGGGGAAAATGAGACTCATGTCAATGTTAAAAGCGCCTTAATTACAAATAGAACAAATTACAGCGAAATCCTGAAAGTCAACACCTCGGGACCAAAAAAAAGTAATATTACATTGGTTCAGGACCCCCCCCCCCCTCCCCTTTCCAAGCGTGAGGTTTGTTTGAACGTCCCCTAAGCAGTCAGTCTCAAATAAGTCATCCTTCCTGATTCAAATCAGCAACATGTCTTGGTATAAATACAATGCTCGAAAACAAACAGTTTATAATCTATACGACAATAAAAAATATAGTAGGCTACAGCTCATCGCTACGTCCTAAGCGTATCTCTACGCTCTGTCAGTCCAGTATAGCGCATCGCTACGTCCTTGGCGTATCTCTACGCCCTATCAGTCCAGTATAGCGCATCGCTACGTCCTTGGCGTATCTCTACGCCCTGTCAGTCCAGTATAGCGCATCTCTACGTCCTTGGCGTATCTCTACGTCCTGTCAGTCCAGTATAGCGCATCTCTACGTCCTTGGCGTATCTCTACGTCCTGTCAGTCCAGTATAGCGCATCTCTACGTCCTTGGCGAATCTCTACGCCCTGTCAGTCCAGTATAGCGCATCTCTACGTCCTTGGCGTATCTCTACGTCCTGTCGGTCCAGTATAGCGCATCTCTACGTCCTTGGCGTATCCCTACGTCCTCTCGGTGGTCCAATTTGGCACATCTCTACATCCCCTCGGTGGTCCAATTTGGCACATCTCTACATCCTCTCGCTGGTCCAATTTGGCACATCTCTACATCCTCTCGGTGGTCCAATTTGGCACATCTCTACATCCTCTCGCTGGTCCAATTTGGCACATCTCTGAACAAGTTGAGCGGACCTCCGGAGTTCCTTCCCCTGCTGCCGTACGGGGTGGAGAAGGTGGGCAGGGATTCCACTTCAACCCAGGCAATTCTGGGCTCGCAGGTGGATAGATAGACCGTGTGTTAGTACAACGTTTTACGGCAATTAGAAAACGATAAGGCCGTATATGTGCATAGATAGATAGATAGATAGATAGATAGATAGATAGATAGATAAATAGATAGATTGATAGACAGATAGATAGATAGATAGATAGATAGATAGATAGATAGATAGATAGATAGATAGATAGATTGATAGACAGATATATAGATAGATAGATAGATAGATAGATAGATAGATATACAAAAGCTCTGTCCCACCCACCTTTGAAGTACAAAATCTCACTGATTATTCGGCAAAGCCAACCGAAATTTGGTACACAAGATCTTCCTTCATTATCTATCAACCTGACATGAAACGACTTCGCCAGTTTCTGTCCTTGTTCAAGGGAGACAGTGTTATTCACACCGACCCTTGAAAAATCCAAATCAAGGTTTGCTCAATATAGATTCAATGAGAGCGGACTAACTGTTACTTACTTAAAGTCTTTTCATTGACTGAAATATACACAGAAGCAGAAATATACGCAGAAGAAGAAATATACGCAGACTGAAATATACACATATTCGTGAAATATACACAGACTTGTAAGATATAAACAGAACCAGAAATATACACAGAACCTGAAATATACACAGACTCTTAAATTAACTGTTACTTAATTGACGCCAGTTCATTGACAGAATTACCCTCCTTATGGCTCTCTGAGGAATCCTCTGCCATTTCTTGTACAGTGCAGCCTTCAGTTCCTGACCAGTTTGCACGTGTGTGTGTGTGTGTGTGTGTGTGTGTGTGTGTG